TCAGGGGGCTGTGTCTATGGCTTAATTTACTCGTCGAGTCCTTCGTCGCAAGCGACTGGTTCGACGAGGACGGTAACCGGTGCTTGATGTACCTAAAACACCGTTAGTGGATCGGGAGGATCCGTGATGACGTGCTTAGGGCGACGTCGACTGTTTACCATTCGCCTTCTCGAAGTGGCGCCTCACTACTCAACCAACTTAACAAATGAAACTAGAAATTTCTTTTTAATGGACACTTTGATTAATAAAATAATTTTGCAGCGAACCTTTTTGCAATTTTCCAGGCCATAGTTCTGATTAAGTAAAACAAGCTCTACTGGTGGCGCATTGCACTTACCACCGATACTTACGACAGAACTAAACTAAAAACATAAAAATAAAATTGAAGCAACTTCCAAGTTTTTTTTATTGCCCTTGTAGGCAAACGAGCAAATGGACCACCTGATGGTGAGTGGTTACCGTCGCTCATGGACTTCAGCGATGCCAGGGGCAGAGCCAAGCCGCTTCCTATCGTTGAGTTTAACTTTACCTTTGATTTCAATACTTTTGAAATTGCTTCCATGGGTGGTCGGACTCACGGTCTACCTGATGTTAAGTGACTACTAGAGCTTATAGTCACCACATAATAAACGCGTGGCGGCTTCGCGGCAGGACGGTGATGCACGCGCGACACTAAATGCGAAAGATACTCTGGTTTTTAACGACATCCACAGGAAAATACAGTGGTCCTATTGTCAGGCGACTAGGAATGCTTACAGTATTGTTTATCTTATTGTATTGCGTGCATTTCGCTCTGGCGCATAACTGAGATGAATGCACATACTATGTATGTATCCGAGAGTAGTGGATGCACGGAGCGCCGGGAACCGTTACTCTCACGGAACCCGCTGGTACAGTTAACTTAGCTGTCAAAAATATTTCATGTGGGCAGCCTTCTCGCACTTTATGTGTTCCTGGTACAGTGAATGCACCTCACCGTGAGTTATTGCTCTCCTCTCGGATTCTGCGTAGCGTCGAACGAGACTACGCTGTCGCATCAACATTTTACTGTATATTTTGGTTAACGGAATATACCTACATCATCTCAGACACAATGACAATGTTTAAGAAAGCCGAGCATTGGATACAATACAGTATTAGGAAGGAAGGATAATTAGCTACTAATGTTGTGTTGGTCGCATTTTGCGTTCCCTGAAGTTAATAAGCCTTTAAGATAATCCTCGCCGCATAAATTCTATTATTTACAGCTCCGATATGTACGATATAAAATTTATAACTGAGCCTATAAAAGTTTTACGATATTAAATGTAACTTTAAAGGCATTTACGTAAAGTTTTCATTAGCGCATGCACATCATGCGCAGTGACCATAATTTATTAATATAAGGGTGTATGTACTTAAAGTGATTACATTGCGGCGTTAAGTTGTACCTCGTGCATTGCGGCGTCGAGCTGTGCCTGGCGGTGACACTGAGCTGTTAATACAGTAATCATTGCGATATTAGAACTCGTTCAAACCCGATAGAGACCGGGCATTAAATTTGTAGCATTAGAAATGATCCAGCATTTGTAATAACTATCTGATAATTTGAAATTAACACTCTCACCGCCATACGGTCCGCCGGCGGGTCATATATTTTCGAGTTAGACACGCCACCAATATGTTGCAGTAAACGAGATTAGCAGGCCGTACGGGTCGCCGGCGCACCGTATGTTTCGCGCCAAAATATAACAAAATTTCACCACGGCCTGCACGGCTAGGTGTAGTTGCGACCGCCGGCGGACCGCACGGCCTGCCGCACCGACAAATTCTATATATAGGTGGCGGTGAGAGTGGTAAACATGTTCTGAACGATTTTACTTTAACACTAGAAGTATCATTAGGCTAATAATATGTACGTTGGTTACTGTAATTTATCTCACATTACAGTTCCTGTCCGCGTGAAGCTGGAATGGCCCCTTAGGCTACCAGAAAATAGGCAAAATATAAAAAAATATTACAGTTTCATTAATAAGATAGACATTAAAAAGTCAAAAAGTTTCATAAGAGCGTATGGCGGCGGCGGCGTGGCGGCGGAGGCACATATTCATCGTCAAAGCCTGCATCACGAACTCATAACTTGTACAATTAGTTACCGCGCACCCGACGCGACGCCGGCCTTCTCGGAAAACGCCAAAACAGTTAATCTCGACGAATTCCCGTAATTACGTAACTAGCGTTCTGTTTTTATAACAACTTTATCTGGAATCAAGAGTTCTGAAGCGTATGAATGTCTTGTAATCGCACAGACACAGCGGCTGAATCTCTCCCCGGATCTTCTAAGTGAATCACGATTCCGATCCAGTGGAAGTTTCAGCAAAGTACCGCTCTTGCCAGGGCAAACGTTAGCGGAAATCTTGTAGATCCGTCGGGCACTTAAATTAACGTATGAAATATCTTGGACCTTATATTAGAATTTAGTATAATCTACGCTGCCCTTCCGAAGGTCCTGAATCAAGCAATACGTTAGTATTCTGCATATAAAATAGTCGACCGCGCCCTCTTCTTCGAACGATATTTGAAAGCATTTAGCAAATCTCACGAAAAGAAAGTGAAGTTAAATAAATTTAAATATAAATGGAGTGAGAAAATTTCTCCGCTAGGAATCGCCGCGCAATTGATAGTAAGATGTAAAATGAATTCGGAAGTATCCGAATGTGTGTCGGCCTCAGTGCCGGAGGCTCCTGCGAGCTGTGATCAGGGTCGCCGATGCGGGCCGCGCGCTGCCTCACCTTCGGGCTGTGGGACACTCCACGCGTGCTGGATCTCTACGAGCGGTCTCTTGGCGGCTCTGTGTCCACTTCTTGACCTATCGACTGTTTGCGACCCCTGCGACCTAAAGATACCCCGCCATCAAGTATTTTTCAAATTTATAAATATTTTAGAGCTTTGATTTTTAATATACAATGTTATTCGCTCATCGTGAAAGTCGCTTGTGAACACATGTTCGTGCCGATGTTTTTAATGTAATCATTAGAAATATTGGCATGAAACGCCGGGCATCTTATCGTCTGACCGTGACAATTGATTACGAATTAATTTAAAAGTTAACTAGCTTATATATGTATTGTTAGAAAGATATAGCAAATAGTTAAGTGAATACGACTAAACACGCAACAATGACAGAGGACCAGAGTGAGTAGAATACTATCAACTATTTCAACTTACACGACCAACAAACAGGTTCATAATATGAACTAAATGTAACACGATAAAAGTTTCATGAAATTATAAATATCCGCGAATGGCCAGTCATTTGTCAATGTTGGCTACTCTTGTACGTGACGAGACGCGCCCGCCTACACACAGCACGATACTCTCGATCTACATGTATACTTGATAAATATGACTGGAGGCTGGTTCATGTTTAATTCAATATGCAATTATTTCGATAAGAGTGATCCAATTTGCGGTGGGATTGTTGTATTAACAATGAGCGGTCAAATTAAACCGTTACAGCCCAGCGGGTACCAGGGCACCAGAAACGCCCAGAATGTCAATTTGGATTTATAAGTTGCCAAAAGAATCTGACCCAAATCTCTTCCTGGCTGTTGAGTTTTTTCCTCGTTCGGTTTTTGTGAGCGCAACGATAATTTCTCGACTAAGGAAGTGCGTCGGTTGAGTCGGTCGAGTCGCGCGATGCGATGCGATCAGCCGACTCACTGCCGATGCCGCCATGCCGGTCTAACGGAACCGACCGCCGACGTAGTGCTGCTACATTTTACTTGCAGCTTTACTTCAAATCTCTTTGTCCTGTTTCTGAAGCAGCACACCTTTCTGAGATAAGTCCTTGTTATGGGGCTTTGGGAGATGCTCTACGGCGTGAAATTCATTCGTACTATTCACTAAAACCAATTGATGCTATAAACACCAAACAGGACAATGTAAATAGTTTCCGCCGGCTTTAATTAAACGTCACTAATGATGTCTAATCAATAGCACATACATATGTACGTACGTACGTGTTGCCACACCGTGACGGTTTAGCACCAGACCTACAGACAGACGAGTTTAAATAATTACAATCTATTGGAATGTAGACGGATATCAAAATAAATTGATTTTCATCTTCTGCGACAGTCATCAAGTAGAAGTTCAAGTGATCCTGGTGGCTGGTGAGGCTGGTGGTGATGGTTTACTGTTTTTTTTGGTGCTAAAGCTTTTCACGTTGTGCGTTGCGGCGGCGCGCACTCACGAGGTCCGGAGAGCCGGGATAATAAATAAAAAAGACGAAACGCTCATTAATAGCGTGACAGAAAACACAGTAGCAGTCCACTTGTGATGCTGTAAGTGTGTTCATTCGTTTTTTTTTTTTTAGAAAAAGCCGCGAATCAACTGATCTGAAGCTCATGAACGAGTGAACCACAAGGAGACTATTCGAACTCACCCCGTCTCAAGTCGCGAGTGGCGCTCACTCCGGGCTCGCTAGTATCTCAGCGTGGCGGACAGCGGGCATACTGTACGAGTATAATCGTAATTATGTTCATTGCGTTGATCAAGTATTGGACTCTCGCGGCCCCAGAGTTGTCAATCAACGGTAATTTATTTGATAATCGACGTCGTAATGAATCAGACACAGCTGTATGTGGATGACATATCGGACGAGCCTCTCACTAGTAATATTCTATGAATGTAAATGCGGGTAGTTAATGAGCCCGCACGGACGCGGTGCGTGTCCCGTAAATGAAAGCTTTCAATTTAAAAACACCTCTTGTTCTGTTATAATCTCTTGGTAATTATTTATATTCTTACTAGAGCCCTAATTATTATAAATACTATAATAAATACGATACTGGAAAAATGTTTGTAAACGTTCAATCCAAAATTTATTCACATTACAATGCTGACCTTAAACTCTATTTTAAAAGTCCACTTAGTTTCTTAAGCACGTAAGGTAACAATATAACTTAAAACCTCATTAAATGTGTCCCTAAATAAAATTAAATAAAAGTAAAACTTACACAAGAGCTCAACCAGCAAGCCGCCTCAAAGATCACCACAATAGCACTAGAACTCGAAGTTAATCTAGATTTAGTGAATGCAAGCAGGCGGCGCGGCGCACGATCGTGGCGTGGTGGATGTAAGGGGCGGGCCACACGTTCGGCGTCGATGGCGGACGCAATGCAACTGGGTCCGCGGCGGGCCAGAGCCCACTAATATATCTCGTATACTAGTTTTCTTCGTCTTTCACTGGTCGGAGCCGCGAGCCGCCGGCCACCACTTTCTGGGTTAATGAGGAGNTTAGTGAATGCAAGCAGGCGGCGCGGCGCACGATCGTGGCGTGGTGGATGTAAGGGGCGGGCCACACGTTCGGCGTCGATGGCGGACGCAATGCAACTGGGTCCGCGGCGGGCCAGAGCCCACTAATATATCTCGTATACTAGTTTTCTTCGTCTTTCACTGGTCGGAGCCGCGAGCCGCCGGCCACCACTTTCTGGGTTAATGAGGAGCCTGACGCGGTTGTCGTGTTCGCCGTTTTCTACGTGTTTTCGAATTGCCACGGCTGGTGTTGGGTACAGATGTCGAGCTGCTGCGTTGTTGTGCGCCCCTGGTACTCCACGGTCGTGGACATTGATTTTCAATATTTATTTGGTTTTGGGGTTCATTTGCTTAAGTATAAAAAATGCTTTGTCAAGCGGAGATTAACACGATTTTCCTGAGTGTCACTCAACAATGTGGAACAGAGGAATTCACGACAATGCCTAGTGACCCATTGAGGAACTGATACTTCAAGACCACTTTGGTTCTCACCCAGATTCTTAGACCGTACCCCTGAAAATGTGTATTTACAAGACAGCGCAGGTTAGTACCTCCGCCAAGTCTATTTCTGTCGCAAAACAATCGTACATTTTGATTTGATCGATAGTATAGCCGTTCTTTAAATGAAATTAAGATTTCGATCGACCTCATGTCTCAAGGTGAACTCCTTGTGAATGTCTCCAATAAAACTGTAGTGTCTATATGGATTCCATTAATAACTTAACATCAGTTGGGCCGCAATACCCGTGCAGTCTCGGGTTTAGCTGCGAACAAAACCATACCTGGTCCAGACGACCATGTCGCCGTCGTCTAAAACATGTCGTTTCGGAGGCTCCTGTCCACCAAGCACTGAAGCTTTTACGCATTCCAAGCATCAGTCGCCGTCCTCGTCGAACACGTTCTGAGGAGCTGGCATACCCCGCGAGGATACCAGCAACAAGTAGGCAAATAAGTGAACAAAACAAACAGAATGTAGAGTGCTCTGCGCGGAAGTCCTCCTTTATTTAAGCACGCATCGTGCACCGCTCGCGTGTCGCACAGCTAAACTAATTGTTACGATATCTTGGTGTTTTCTCTGGATTGATGTTAACATAAGGTGAGCGCGCGCGACTGGCCGCTTCGTGTTTAGAAATTGTGCCAGAGTGATCAAGGTCGTCACCGGTTTACCTGAGCTCACAGTTTTCAAGCTGGGACGAGGCAAACAAGCGGTTTCACTGTTCACACTTTTACATTTTCACTCCGGACTCGAACACGTACCAGCGTGACGTGCGACGCCCGCTCGTGGGCTGCAGTGCCCGGCGGAGACACTTCAGCCTGGAACGTCTTCCATATTACCACCCCCGGTCGCTCAACATCCCACCTCCGAGCCTCGGGTGGGGTAGAACGTAGAACTCATCCGAGGCAGGCAGAGGGTAAGGTGACGCGATTTGTAATCCGAATATAAAAAAAAGGTGAAGTAGGGCAGGTATACCTAATTTATCTGAAATAAGCCCCAAACGCTCAAACCGATTTTGACGAAGTTCAGTATAAAAATAGTTTGAGCCCAGGAAAAGAGTATAGGCTACCTCTTACACCACTGCGCACACGGGTCTCCGGCGACGCGATGTGAAGTGCAGCCAATATGCTCGGGCACACTTACCGCTTGCTGCTCGTGATGTCACGTCCCAGGTCATGTTGGTATACATACATAGAGGTTATGGCAAAGGGTGAGTGGGTGTAATCTTCTCAAGTCCAGTTCACATGTATTGTAATTTTTGAGAAATTTTATACCGAATGTAACAGTACGTAATACTAATCTGAACTAGATTTGAAATCAAAGTCATTCCCAATCGTCACTGTTCAAACAACAGAATTGTCTTAGAACCGTATAGTTTATATTCAAACGTTAATTTCAAGACTTTTTTTGGCAGCAGCAGTACCTAAAACAAACAATAAAAGCACATAATCATTTTGTAAAGTGAAGAAGCTCGCTCTGAATATTAATTCCGCTCACAAACATTTGTTGTAAAGCTTTCAAGTTATCGCGAACGCACGGACGAAACCGCTAATAATCTAAGTTGAAGTGTTTGGGTAAAGTTAACCCGGCCACTTACGACCGCAACTTAAACTTATTAACTCAGCTGAACATGAAATGCGATATACATACCAGGAGAGCAGACGAGCCCGGGAGCGTATAGCGGTACACAACAGAACACATTGNCACAAACATTTGTTGTAAAGCTTTCAAGTTATCGCGAACGCACGGACGAAACCGCTAATAATCTAAGTTGAAGTGTTTGGGTAAAGTTAACCCGGCCACTTACGACCGCAACTTAAACTTATTAACTCAGCTGAACATGAAATGCGATATACATACCAGGAGAGCAGACGAGCCCGGGAGCGTATAGCGGTACACAACAGAACACATTGCTATTCTTATTATTTTACATATTTTGTCTATGGAAGCTATTAAGTATTATTTGTAAATTTTACGTCATACAATTTTTGTATTTTTTATTGCTTAGTAGGATGTACGAGCTCACGGCCCACCTGGTGTTAAGTGGTTACTGGAACTTATGGACATCGACAACGTAAATGCGCCACCCACCTTGAGATATAAGTACTAAGGTCTCAGTATAGTTAAAGCGGCTGCCCCACCCTTCAAACCGAAACGCATTACTGCTTCACGGCAGAAATAGGCGGGGCGGTGGTACCCACCCGTGCGGACTCACAAGAGGTCCTACCACCAGTGATTACGCAAATTATAATTTTGTGGGTTTCATTTTTATTACACGATGTTATTCCTTCACCGTAGAAGTACCTAAATCGTGAACATTTGTTAAGTACATATTTCATTAGAAAAATTGGTACCCGCCTGCGGGATTCGAACACCGATGCATCGCTTCATACGAATGCACCGGACGTCTTATCCTTTAGGCCACGACGACTTCTAAACGACTTGTTGTTGTTCACTCACTTTTCTAGTCATAAATTTAAAGTAATGACCAGAATATAGATCACTAACATTAACCACTACTGCTATATTATTGAAGTTGTTGCGAAATTTGACACTTTCATTAGCAACATATCTTGTAAAGTTAACCAGATCTGGGTCACAGCGATTAGGAGTGCACTCCCAATATGCTTTAATTACTTATCACAGTCTTCCGCATTCCGCTAAAGACACGGCCGCCGGACTCTCCGGAGCGCAGCTTGCGGTTTTCCCACTCACTGGACCGAAACTGATCCCCATTATTAACATTGTTCTACAAAGCTACAAGGGCTCGGTAGAATCGAGTGCAGCCCACTTCCGAGGAAGCGTTATAACAAACACGTTTTAAACTGAGCCAAACAACATTTCTTGGCAATTACGAGATTTTCTCAAACAAACAACCGACCAAACTCACATTATCGTAAATAAAATGAAAGTTCTCAAACAATGATGGAAGCAATTTCCCAGTGACGAGGAGAGGTCACGTGCGCGCACTCGCCGCGACTACTAACCATCCGCTGTTTGTTCGCCTCTAATCTACTCGCGTGCACGAACTTGCAAAGCTGCCTTCGCGATCTTGGTGAAGGAAGACTTGAGCAGGAAATAAAACTTACTATGAAAATAGTATGATAAGTACTCGAATCATCCATGTCCTGAATGTGAGACTCGTGCACCACTGACTGATCTGTCTCCCGACGGGTGGACAGATGGACGGACGGCCCAGCACAATGCTGTTGGTTGCTGCAGTCGAGATCACAGAACAACAAACTAACAACCTTAACCACAAAGCAAACATAGAAAAATATAATAATCTATACTAATATTATAAAGCTGAAGAGTTTGTTTGTTTGAACGCGCTAATCTCAGGAACTACTTGTCCGATTTGAAAAACTCTTTCAGTGTTAGATAGCCCATTTATGAGGAAGGCTACAGACTATATAATATCACAGTAAGGCCAATACAAGTGGAGCACCAATAAAGAATGTTTCAAAATAGGGGTTTAAATAGCTCCTTAACATTCTATAATTGAAAAATATTTTCACTTTTTACGTAAATGAAATGGGGGTAACATTTAGCGTTATACCAAAGTAACTATTCCATGCGGACGGAGTCGCGGGCAAAAGCTAGTAATTAAAATATAAAAATAATAATATTTAGGTTGCAGCGACGCTATGGTTTAGTTTAGATTAAATATCAATTTATTGTCATTTTATGCACACCAACATATTATTATCTGGATACAAAACGAGGACATGAGGTTATGTTGAGCGCGGGCGGGCCGGGGCTGGCGGCGGCTCGTCCACTACACTCGCTCGTTACGGGCCCCGGAGACTCGGAGTCGACTGTCTTTTGTTAGATGTGTCAATCAAAGCTGCTGCGAATTTACTTCATTGCAATTAAGTCAAATGTACTAGTTGCGCGGCACGCTTCCACTCACGTCACATGCTCACTAATGAATAACTTGAATCTAACAGGGAGTAGCAGGTGATGACCACCAACTGGCTCAACAGAAAAAATAGCACTAAAAACTCTTCTTCTGTTTCTCCACCTTATCCTACTAGGTGGGGTCGGCACAGCTAATTTTTGTCTTCCACTCTCTTCTATCAACCGTCATCTCAACACTGACTCCTCTCTCTCTCATATCGTCATTCACACACTCCATCTATGTCTTCTTCAGCCGACCTTTTCCCACTAAAAACTCCCAGCAGAATAAGAGTAGAATATCCCTTCGTAATGAGGTGAGAATTTACAAAACTTGCATACGACCTATAATGACCTAAGCGAGTGTGGTGTTCGCTAAGGCGGTCCCTACGCATTTAGACTTCGATACCTTTAATCCTATTTTTGTAGGGTAGTTGTCGGAGCGCTGTGA